TTGCACGTCATCCATCAGTGCGCGCCGATCCGTTTGCTGGGTACAGAAAATCACACGCTGCCGTCAGTTTGTCTGGCGCGATTTTTGCTGCTGCTGCCGTTGCTGCTGCTGCTGCTGCCGTTGCTGTTGCTGGCCGTGTAATTGCAGGCACACAAAAAAAAAAACAAAAAGGTGGCACAAATGTCGTTTCCCTGTTGCCAGCACACACCCGCGACCGCACCACGAACTTGGACCCCATTTGCAAAGCCTCGCCCCTCCCGCCTTGCTCGGCATACCCCTCACAAACCACAGGCTCAAGCTCTTGGCACCGACGGCACCTACTGCATTGAATTTTGTTGCTGTTTTATTGTTGTTGCAAGCTTGTTGCTGTTGCTGTTGCTGTTGCTGTTGCTGTTGCCTTAGCGGTTGGTGCTTACGTAAGCGCAAAAGGCGGTAAAATGAAATGAAATTGTTGTAATGGGCGATTTTCATTGCGGCATTACACGCCAACAACTCTTACATAGTCAGTCGCACTAGAGATGTGTCCACAGTGCCTGCTAATTCGCGTACCACAAGCACCATAAAAAAAAGAAATCAAATAAAAAATAAAGAAGCTGAACAGAAATCTTTAAAACTGTCAGTTCAGTTAACTAAAGCTAAATTAATTTTTGCTAGCTTCGTTTTATCGTCTTAAGAAAACATCATCAATTGAATGACAAAATATCTTTTATATTTAAGTTTCAGTTTCTTTTAAAACAGTTGAAATATTAAAAGCTTATATTTTTACAAGATTTTTAACTAATTGTTTATTTTGAATTCATGCCGAATCATATTTAAAAAGCTGCTTTATACTCACTCACGAGTCACGCGCTCATCTCTAGTTCGACTGAATGTATTTGTGAATATACATGCCCATTTCGGGCCATATCAGCACCCTCCCTCCCCGCCCCCACTGCCCGTAACCCCTGCCCCACAAGCCGCACGTTGTTTGTGAGCTCGACTGTTATGTGTATATTTGTTCTATAATTACAGCCTATTTGCGCTCTATTCTCGGTACACATGAAATTTTAATGGACCTCTGGCCCCTCGGACTGGCTGCCTCCGTCAGAAACACCAAGCTGGACATTTCCAAAGAAACGCTTTGCTCCACACACTCCACACACCGTTCAGACCTGGCCCACAGTTCACCGTCCCAATGAGACTGTGTCTGAGTGTGTGTGTGTGGTCTTAGTTGCTGTCTCTTGGCTTTCAGATTTAGTCATTTGGATCATCAGAGCCACGACAGTTGTCTATGAACTCACTGCCACATACGCACAATTGCGAAACAAATAATAGCACCACTTACAACCACAATATTTTTTCTTACGAATGGAAAAAAAAAACAACAAATTTGTTTTAAATATGTTGATTTTTAATATAATATTTATTTTTTATTTATATTTTTTCATAAATATAAGTGAGCATTTGAAAAATGTGCCAATTATTATTCTGCATTTTTCATAAATTTTAATGTTTTAAATTTAAATTTTAATTCAATTGAAATGACTTTAAAAGGCGTAATTTTATTATCGACTTTTATTTTCACATTCAAGTTAAACTTAAACATTTGAGAACATTTCTTGTGAGAGTGGTGCTATTATTCTTGTCACCACTGTATGTATTCTAGATGAAGCTTCTTTTAGCTGCTTTTTAACGTTTTTTTTCCCCTCTTTTTATTTATTTTTTTGCTGTCTTTAATTTCTGCAAACGCTTTCTTTGTGCCTACCTATGCATGCATGTACTTTGCCACTTTCTTTTCTCTGTTTTCGTGTGTGGTCTGCCCACCTGTCCATCTGTCCATCTGTCGTTGGCTAATGGGCTATAAGGTGGGTCGCTGCTCTGCTCTGTGAAGCTGTCGCTGCAATTTGCGTCTCATTGCGGCAATTCAATGGCAGACCCAACATCAGCCATGCCTAATGACCAAATGCAAATCCAAACAGACAATACTGAAACCCATAAAGACATAAATAAATACATATATACATAAATACCTTTATGCATACACTGTGGCTTCTTCCATGGAAAAAGTTCTTCAAACTTGAGTCATGTATGCAATAGATAATTATTATTATTTTCTAGTGATTTATTTTACTTTTCAGCTTATATCTATATCCGTTCCACTTGGTTAAATGCTGAAGCAATTGGCATGAAAATCGAGAGAACTCGACTAGGAGATACCCTTAACCCAGAACAGATAATAGTTTGTTCAGCATGAAAATATATTTTGATTAACAAAATCTTCGTTTCTTATCAGATATTAATAAAAACCAGTTGATTAATAATGTGTCTAGTTATAATCTATATCAAATGCAACGCTGTATCTTTACAATTAAAATCGATTTATATCGTTAATGGCTAAGCGTAGGCACTTATCTAATCTTTAAATAAATGGACTTTATCTGTCTGTGGACTACTAGAACTTATATTATACACCGTTCTTCACATTATCAATTAAACCAATGTCAATAATATATTAGAACAATTGTTAAAAAGCAGAAATATCCAAATTAAATATAAATATCCTATAATGATCAAGCTCCAACTAACTTCAAGTGCCGCAAACCATTCCCTATTCAATATGTAAAATTCAAAATAAAAAACCGGGCTGAAATCATCGTTAAAATCTGTTTAAAATTTCGACATGACAAAACGTGAATTAATTATACTCATTATATAGAAATGCAACAGCAAACGCAAAAAAAAAAATTGCATATAAATCTAAAAGCAAACAAATCAGGCTTAATAGAAGTTTTGCTATTCTTTCTTTGTTCTCAGCTTTGAACGCGGCTAACACAGATTTGCTATTGTAATTGTTGCACTTGTTCGCGGTCGATCCATCGAGTATAACTTTAATATATGCACTTCAAAATGGATGTGTGTATGTGTGAGTGTGTGTGTGTGTGTCTGTGTGTGTGTGTGTCTGTGTGTGTGTGTGTTTGTATATGCATTTGTGTTGGTTATACGATTCCATAACTATTGCATTTTATAAAGCAATTAGCGTAGGTTGCGATGCTTTGTGAGCATTTTGATCTTAGTTAAGATTGCCTACATGAATATATATATATATATATATATATGTATATCGTGACATGACCGATGCGGAAAATCGCCAATCAACGTATGATTTCTGTATATGACAAATGATCAAGTATAACGACCGCGAACTATAATAATTTCACAATAATATCTCAAATCGAACAAGCTCACAACTACTAATTACTTTAATGCGATCAACGCGAAATTTCGTCGAGAGTAGCATATATATATATATATATATACTACAATAAACAAACATTTGATACTTAATTAGCTTCTCGTGGTGTATAATTTCAACATCAGGATTACGTTTTCAACTTTAAGAATGCTCATCGCCACTTGAATAGGATACCCTGCAATTGCTCGCCATAATAAAATACATCTTTCACAAGCTTCTTTGTTGTATTATGTTTAGTTATGTTTTATTTTTTCCGCTCTATGTTATTGAACTAGAATATGCATCTAGTCTGATTGGTTATCTTATATTTTGTCACTCGACTCATAGTACGAGTTGATCTGTTATTTTTGACCATATTATTTTTTATTTTGTTTATATTTAAGTAATTTTCGGGTTGCAAAGAATCAGGCAATTCTATATATTTATTTTGCTATTGTTAAATATGTTTTGATGTTAATTCGAAATAAATATATTTACCTTGTTTATGTATATTGTACTCATACGTGTGGCATGTCTGTCTACGCGTATCTATTGCCGTGTGCCATTGAGGTTGCCCTAAGGCTATTGACGTGGCCTATTATCAGTGCTACTTGATAACAGCATCTTTCAATGTCTTGCGAACAGCCTCAGATCTGTGTATGTGCCTCTGGCCAATCCTCTACAATGTCGGCAACTCGACTCTGAATATTCAGCCTACATATGATTCTACTGAGACCAGCTAGCCAAAGCAGAAAAAGATGGAATTAAATTGGGATGCACTTAGGCACAAAGGCGAATCCTCTTTCGAAACTTCGGCTACCAAAAATGAGGTAAGTAATTAACAGTTAATTATGTTTTTCTTCTTGCGTGATTTCAACTCTCCGAAGGATAACTATTTAACTGTATAAATACCTGATTAAATCCATAATTTCAAGATCTTCTGGTTTTTAAAGACTACAATAATTTCCTAGCAAATATAGATGTTTAATAATAATAACTTTTGAGCTCGCCTCGCTTATCATGCTGCTCGCTTCTCACACCCACACGCCTCGTCTTATCAAATTTGCAGCTTCTAATTCCATATAAAAAACTATGACTTCTTTGGAATATTTGTCTTGGGAGCAGTGTGCGATAGAAACAGATTTAATGGCTGACCTATTCAAGTGGCGAGGGGTGTACAAACATCTATTCACGCATTCACAGATCTCTGCTCCAAATAAGACACATACACATATTTCTTTGCGTATCCTGCTATAGCTGTGAATTTACAGAGATACGGACTTGACTTAATCGACTTGGCTTTTGTTGCTGATCAAGGATATATATACATTATATTGGATCTGATTTGCTTCCAACTGCCTGCATTTATTATTATTGGAATACACATTTCAAATGAAGATCAACAGATATTCCATCTTCAAACTGAACTTTATAAACATATTTATAAATGTTCATCTAAAGTAGACACAATTGAAACTATTCCCATTTATTTGTTCATCTATTATGATTCTGTCAAATATGATTTTATGCTACTGCGAAATAAATAAATAAATATATATATATATATATATATATATATATACACGTGCGACATGTCTGTCTACGCTTATCTGTTGCCGTGAACTTAACAAATTTGAGCAAAAGCTCGGAATCAACACCTGATCCAGGTTCCTCTAAAGCCATTGTCGTCGTCTTTTATCAGTGGTACTTGATAACAGCATCGTTCAATGCATATAAAATGCTATAAAATGTCGGTAGTCCAACTCTGAAGAATTAGTTTACATCTAATTCTATTGAGACCAGCTGGCCATAGCAGGAAGAGATGGAATTAAATTGGGTTGCATTTACTTTATGCATAAGTCTGATCCTGATCAAAGGCGAATCCTCTTTCGTAACTACAGCTACGAAAAATGAAGTGAGTAAATAAGAATTAATTATATTAGACAAGCGAGTTATTCCAATTCTAAATTATATCAGATCTGCAAAGCATCAAGGAGAGAGGAGGAACAATGCGGATCATATGCCTATAAGGCCATGAAACCACTGCTTATCTACGTAGAATTGATGAGGACAAACGTGGAAAACCATGATAATATAACATCCATTAAGAATATGGAAATAGAAAAGCAACAATTGAAGATATCCCAACTTGAATTAGAATTGAGAGAGCAGATTAATAAGGGATTGATCAGCAGTAAAGACAATGAATTAAAGCAGCTACAGCAAAAGTTAGATCAGAATAATGAATGTGAAACTAGAATTCAGGAATTGAGAAACTATAAGGATAGAACAGCAAGGCAGGACTCTGAAATCAAGGAGTTGCAGAAGAAACTAGTTGATCAAAATGAAAATGTCGCCATCTTACAGGAATTGAGAAATCAGATAGATTTATACAAGAATAACAATGACAATTTGCAATCAATCAGGAATGAATTAAAGAATTTGCAATCAATCAGGAATGAATTAAATAAGCTCAATTCACAGAAATGTGAGGAATGCACAAGTGATTTAATCTCCAAACAAAAACTTCAAATCGAAAGCGATGCAGTCAAATCGAAGGAGTTTCAGATACAGTTGGAGAAAGATAAGAAAAATATTGACCAAAAGAACCAAGAAATATCCAAATTAAAAGATCAAATTAATAGCGAGGCAGTCAAATTGCAGGAGTTGCAGATACAGTTGGAGAAAGATAAGAAAAATATTGACCAAAAGAACCAAGAAATATCCAAATTAAAAGATCAAATTAATAGCGAGGCAGTCAAATCGAAGGAGTTTCAGAAACAGTTGGAGGAACAAAAGAAAAATATTGACCAAAAGAACCAGGATATATCCAAATTAAAAGATCATATTAATAGCGAGGCAGTCAAATCGAAGGAGTTTCAGAAACAGTTGGAGGAACAAAAGAAAAATATTGACCAAAAGAACCAGGAAATATCCAAATTAAAAGATCATATTAATAGCGAGGCAGTCAAATCGAAGGAGTTTCAGATACAGTTGGAGAAAGATAAGAAAAATATTGACCAAAAGAACCAAGAAATATCCAAATTAAAAGATCAAATTAATAGCGAGGCAGTCAAATTGCAGGAGTTGCAGATACAGTTGGAGAAAGATAAGAAAAATATTGACCAAAAGAACCAAGAAATATCCAAATTAAAAGATCAAATTAATAGCGAGGCAGTCAAATTGCAGGAGATGCAGCAATCCATTGAGGAAAAGAATCAAGAAATATCCAAATTACAAAACGATGTCAACAAAAGCGATGTGAAATTGGAGGACTTAAAGGAGATTAATTGCACATCTTTTGGAGATGCTCCTTGTGTTCATAAAATCAGTTTTTCTCATTACTGCTTTGATGTATTATGCGACTCGAAGACAGCAGGTCCTGGATGGACAGTTATCCAGCAGCGAATCAATGGTAAAGAAGATTTCAACAGGAATTGGGCAACATACCGCGAAGGCTTTGGTTCCTTTGATGGAGACTTCTTCTTGGGCTTGGAAAAGATCCATCGCTTAACGAGCTATAAACCCCATGAACTCTTTATATATCTGGAGAGCTTTGAAGGAAAAATAGAATATGCGAGATATCAACAGTTTGCCATTGCTGGCGAAAGCGATGACTTCCAGCTGAGTTTAAGTGGATTCAGTGGCAATGCCACAGATATTTTGTTAAAATATAACAATAATAAGAAATTTTCAACATATGATCGTGATAATGATGGCTGGAATGTTGGCTATTGTGCATTAACATACCTTGGTGGATGGTGGCACAATGACTGGTGTGGATGGCCGTAAGTAAATGACTCTCTTCTTCATCTCTATTTATATATTTAACTGTTTTCTTCTTTTATTCCACAGTAGATTAAATTCAAAGTACTATGATAGGTTAGAGGACTGGAATAATTATGGTATATCTTGGAATAGCGCAATCAAAAATGTTAAAATGCTTATTCGCCCAAAATAAATATAAAAATGATGCAAATTTAATATGAATTGTACTTTGGAATTGTAAATGTAATTAAAAATTAACTCTCAAATAATTAAATTGGCACTGTTATTACATCACATTTTATGAACTTCTACTCATTTGTAGGTCAAGTTAACTTGAGTCTCCGACGGATATGGAAAAATGGATAAAAATAGCTGAATCTATCAGTAGCATCGATAAGCAGTAGATCCAAGGAGGTGTCAGATAGTAGTGGAATGGTAGTGCAATAGTAGTAGAATATTACTATAATTGTAGTAGAATAGTAGTAGAATAGCAGTAGAATATTAGTATAATATTAGTAGAATATTAGTAGAATAGTAATGAAACAGTAGTAGAGTAGTAGTAGAATAGTATTAGTGGAATAGTAGTAGAATAGTAGTAGAATAGTAGTAGAATAGCAGTATAATTGCAGTAGAAAAGTAGTAGAATAGAGACCAAGCCGTGCATATGTGCGAGCAGCTGCAGACTTTGTCTGCTAGGTGTCAAAGGGTATGTGAAGATAGCAGCAACACTCTGTCCTTGTCTGTCGTGTGCAAGCATGCAGTTAAGTAAATGCGACTATTGTCAGATCTAACGGAAGGCAAATATATTTATGCCTTGCCTGTCGAAAGCATCAATATATCGCTCAGCCGGCTAGCTATCGGCTCAGGGGTAGTTCGACCGCGATATATTGGGCGGCAAGTTCCTCCTCTAAATTTCCTGGAGAAATTCCCTTTCACAATTATTCCTTTTTCACTTGTTTCTTATGCCCTCATCTCACCCGATCACATTAATTTATTCATTTTTTTCAGACTATTTAATTTGCAACTCATGTGATCCATGTGACATCGTGATCCCTAACATTTTGTTGGCCAACCCTAAAACACTTTATTGACAAACTGTACATGCTTAAATTGATCGAAGTTGCTTCCAACTGCCTGAATTTTTTATTATTTGAATACACATTTCAATTGAAGATCAACAGATATTCCATCTTCAATCTGAACTTTGTAAACATATTTATAAATGTTCATCTACAGTACACACAATTGAAAGTATTCCCGTTTATTTGTCTACTCTCTTTAAGATCGTCCACTTTAAGATTTGATGCTCATCATTTGTATCCAAAATGGGGAACTAAGTTCAATCGTTTCTAAAATGAGCACTAATTCTGTAATAAGTAATTAAATATATATTATGATTCTGTCAAATATGATTTGATGCCAGTGAAATATATATATATATGTATATATATTTATATGTCTGTCTACGCTTATCTGTTGCCGTGAACTTAACAAATTTGAGCAAAAGCTCGAAATTAGAACCTGATCCAGGTTCCTCTAAAGCCATTGACGTCGTCTATTATCAGTGGTACTTGATAACAGCATCGTTCAATGCATATAAAATGCTATAAAATGTCGGTAGTCCGACTCTGAAGAATTAGTCTACATCTAATTCTATTGAGACCAGCTGGCCATAGCAGGAAGAGATGGAATTAAATTGGGTTGCATTTACTTTATGCATAAGTCTGATCCTGATCAAAGGCGAATCCTCTTTCGTAACTACAGCGACGAAAAATGAAGTGAGTAAATAAGAATTAATTATATTAGACAAGCGAGTTATTCCAATTCTAAATAATATCAGATCGGCAAAGCATCAGGGATAGAGGAGGAACAATGCGGATCATATGCCTATAAGGCCATCAAACCACTGCTTATCTACATTGAAATGATGAGGACAAAAGTGGAGAACTATGATAATATAACATCCATTAAGAATATGGAAATAGAAAAGCAACAATTGAAGATATCCCAACTTGAATTAGAATTGAGAGAGCAGATTAATAAGGGAATGATCAGCAGTAAGGACAATGAATTAAAGCAGTTACAGCAAAAGTTGGACCAGAAGAATGAATGTGAAACTAGAATTCAGGAACTGCGAAACTATAAGGATAGAACAGCAAGGCAGGACTCTGAAATCAAGGAGTTGCAGAAGAAACTAGTTGATCAAAATGAAAATGTCGCCATCATACAGGAATTGAGAAATCAGATAGATTTATACAAGAATAACAATGACAATTTGCAATCAATCATGAGTGAATTAAAGAATTTGCAATCAATCAGGAATGAATTTAAATAAGCTCAATTCACTAAAATATGAGGAATGCACAAGTGATTTAATCTCCAAACAAAAACTTCAAATCGAAAGCGATGCAATCAAATTGCTGGAGTTGCAGATACAGTTGGAGGAAGATAAGAAAACCATTGAGGAAAAGGATCAAGAAATATCCAAATTACAAAACGATGTCAACAAAAGCGATGTGAAATTGGAGGACTTAAAGGAGATTAATTGCACATCTTTTGGAGATGCTCCTTGTGTTCATAAAATCAGTTTTTCTCATTACTGCTTTGATGTATTATGCGACTCGAAGACAGCAGGTCCTGGATGGACAGTTATCCAGCAGCGAATCAATGGTAAAGAAGATTTCAATAGGAATTGGGCAACATACCGCGAAGGCTTTGGTTCCTTTGATGGAGACTTCTTCTTGGGCTTGGAAAAGATCCATCGCTTAACGAGCTATAAACCCCATGAACTCTTTATATATCTGGAGAGCTTTGAAGGAAAAATAGAATATGCGAGATATCAACAGTTTGCCATTGCTGGCGAAAGCGATGACTTCCAGCTGAGTTTAAGTGGATTCAGTGGCAATGCCACAGATATGTTGTCAAAAAATAACAATAATAAGAAATTTTCAACATATGATCGTGATAATGATAGCTGGAATGATGGCAATTGTGCATTAAAACAACTTGGTGGATGGTGGCACAATGACTGGTGTGGATGGCCGTAAGTAAATGACTCTCTTCTTCATCTCTATTTATATATTTAACTGTTTTCTTCTTTTATTCCACAGTAGATTAAATTCAAAGTACTATGATAGTTTAGAGGACTGGAATAATTATGGTATATCTTGGAAGAACGCAGTCAAAAATGTTAAAATGCTTATTCGCCCAACATAAATATAAAAATGATGCAAATTTAATATGAATTGTACTTTGGAATTGTAAATGTAATTAAAAATTAACTCTCAAATAATTAAATTGGCACTGTTATTACATCACATTTTATGAACTTCTACTCATTTGTAGGTCAAGTTAACTTGAGTCTCCGACGGATATGGAAAAATGGATAAAAATAGCTGAATCTATCAGTAGCATCGATAAGCAGTAGATCCAAGGAGGTGTCAAATAGTAGTGGAATGGTAGTGCAATAGTAGTAGAATATTACTATAATTGTAGTAGAATAGTAGTAGAATAGCAGTAGAATATTAGTATAATATTAGTAGAATATTAGTAGAATAGTAATGAAACAGTAGTAGAGTAGTAGTAGAATAGTATTAGTGGAATAGTAGTAGAATAGTAGTAGAATAGTAGTAGAATAGCAGTATAATTGCAGTAGAAAAGTAGTAGAATAGAGACCAAGCCCTGCATATGTGCGAGCAGCTGCAGACTTTGTCTGCTGGGTGTCAAAGGATTATGAATGTATGTGAAGATAGGAGCAACACTCTGTCCTTGTCTGTCGTGTGCAAGCATGCAGTTAAGTAAATGCGACTATTGTCAGATCTAACGGAAGGCAAATATATTTATGCCTTGCCTGTCGAAAGCATCAATATATCGCTCAGCCGGCTAGCTATCGGCTCAGGGGTAGTTCGACCGCGATATATTGGGCGGCAAGTTCCTCCTCTAAATTTCCTGGAGAAATTCCCTTTCACAATTATTCCTTTTTCGCTTGTTTCTTCTGCCCTCATCTCACCCGATTACATTAATTTATTCATTTTTTTCAGACTATTTAATTTGCAACTCGTGTGATCCATGTGACATTGTGATCCCTACATTTTGTTGGCCAACACCCAATTCGCTTATATATATTTAGTACAATTGTATCTATTTACTTAATTTAAAGCTTACAAAATATTTTTGATTTTTCTTTTCTTTTCTTATTTGGCTTCAAAAGTGCGCATCACTGAGTGACAAAATGAGCATCTCTATTGCATTGGTTAGGGCCGATCAGCTGTCTTTGACCCAATCTGCCGCAATTTGGCGGGAACAAACTCACAGGTGTGTTGGTATATTCCGAGTCGTCTCAGGGTCTCCGGGCTTCAACTTCCTGGTTCCTGAGTCCAGTTGCCCCTGGCGATTTCCTCCTTGACGGTGGCGATGGATAGTTCCGCCTGTTGCTGCCGTCGGATTGAATGTTTTTATTTTATTTATTTGTTTTACTTTTGTCTTACATTTATTTATTTTATATTATTTTTTTTGTATATATAATTACTTCATAATTTATTCATAACTAATTTATTTGAATTTCTTCTTTTTAAATAAATCTTTCCGCAGCGTATGCGCATGCGGTCTCTTCCTCTTTCTTTTCCCTGTTTTCTTTTCTCTCTCTCTCTCTCTCTCCCTCTCTCTCTCACTGGAGATGGTGCCCCATTCGATATCCCTCGCCTATCCATCTATCTGCCGACCATTACACATTTATATTTAAAATGAATAAAAAGAGTCAAATAAAATATGGATATATGATGCAAATATGTAAAAGATCAATACAACATTCCGATTACTAATGTTAATAACAGATATATCGATACTGCGCTCGTAACCCCCCAACTATAATTATACACTGAATAAAGTTCTACTTAGTCTAACAGCCAAACGAAATACATATATGTATTTATATATAAATACATATATATGTATGTTCTTGACCAATATCAACAAGCGCGTCTGTCTGTCTATCAGTTTGCACAAACTACTATCAGCAGTCGCACACAACTCTATAAATATATATGTAGCCACAGCATGATAAGCTACGAAATCCGTATATATGTGTCATTTGTAGCCAAAGAGATTTATGAACACATATATATATACATATATACTTATTACTCAAATTGCCAGAATATTTTGCAATTTTTTTCTGAAGATTTTAAATGGCTTTTTGGAAATGATGAAATGTAATGAAAAAAAAATCAGAGCTGGGCAGGGAGTGTGTCGCCTCAACTGGAATTAGACGCAGCATCCTCGGGTAAATCGCAGTGCATGTATCCCAGTTATAATTATAATGACTGCTGATAGAAATATGCATTTTGCATTTTGAGATAAATCTCAAATCTGAACAATTGGCACTGATTGATTTTATCAAAATATTCCCAGCTCAATTTTGCCTACATTTTTTTAGAGTGGAAATGCTAGTGTTTAATCTATGCAGGGTATCTGCTGTTGCTGCAAGCCAACTACCGAACATTGAATACCTTATCTGATATAACATATATACATACATATATATATATATATATATAAAACATACACCTATATACATATATAGATAGTAAATAATATTATAATCTTTAAGCTTGGATTTGACAAAAAATACAAAACTTATTGTTTATATTTTGATTAGTAACACATAAGAATGCCGTAGTTGTGCTATTTATACGCTGTACCCACTAGAAATGATTAATCAGGGTATATTGGTTTGTGCAACTATATGTAACGACCCCTTAAAGTATATATATTCTTGACCAGGGTCAACAACTTAATCGATATAGCCAATTCCGTCTGTCTGTCAGAGACTATAAGAGCTAGAGACTTCAAATTTGGCAGATCAAGTTTGCTTTACTTTATCGATAACTGCCTCAGTGTCTCGAATATCGATACATATCAATTTCCGATAGCAATAAATGCTACAATTTTAAAGGCAGAATCTTCTTATTAATACATAATATGCATATGCATATTATTGATGAGCTGCCCAAATTTCATCTAGATTGGATGAGAAACAGCCAAGTTATTGTCGAAAGTATATTCTCATATTCAACTCATTTCTATCAAGCATTTTCTGCATATGTGAGAAAGAGATGGCATGATAATCGACGCGAGCGTCAATTTGTCTTTGTGTGTATTCTGCAGAGCACCGTTACCTGCGATTGCCTGTACATATGTATGTGTGTAAGTATGCATGTGTATGCACCTGTTTGCCGCCAGCCAATTAGAATTAGTTCGGGCTTGTGAATAAAAATATGCGCTGCATTTGCTATGTTTTTATTTAAAATATAATTAACAGCAGGGATGGATGCAGGGTATATCGTAGTCGAGCTCACTCGACTACAGCATTCTTACTTGTTTTATTTATTATTGTTATAAACCTAATACACCTATGGACATTCAAATAAAACAAAAAATAAAATAAAAATAATTAAAATAAAGAAATAAACTTTTATTATTGATTGAACTACCTCGCACACCGTTATTATTGAGAATCGTATTATTATTGTTATTTTATCTATATGTGGCGGATCATCTTATGATTGAGGTTATGTTTATCAGTCCAAAATACCTGCAAACAATATAAGAAAATATTCAATTTTTCCTGTGTCCAAACACTTTATTGACAAACTGTACATGTTTAAATTGATCGAAGTTGCTTCCAACTGCCTGCATTTGTTATTATTGGAATACACATTTCAAATGAAGATCAACAGATATTCCATCTTCAAACTGAACTTTAAAATCATATTTATAAATGTTCATCTACAGTAGACACATTGAAAGTATTCCCATTTATTTGTTCATCTATTATGATTCTGTCAAATATGATTTTATGTTACTGCGAAATAAATAAATAAATATATATATATATACATATATATACATATATATATATATACACGTGCGACCTGTCTGTCTACGCTTATCTGTTGCCGTGAACTAAACAAATTTGAGCAAAAGCTCGAAATCATCACCTGATCCAGGTTCGCCTAAAGCCATTGTCGTCGTCTTTTATCAGTGGTTCTTGATAACATCATCGTTCAATGCATATAAAATGCTATAAAATGTCGGTAGAGCGACTCTGAAGAATTAGTCTACATCTAATTCTATTGAGACCAGCTGGCCATAGCAGGAAGAGATGGAATTAAATTGGGTTGCATTTACTTTATGCATAAGTCTGATCCTGATCAAAGGCGAATCCTCTTTCGTAACTACAGCGACGAAAAATGAAGTGAGTAAATAAGAATTAATTATATTAGACAAGCGAGTTATTCCAATTCTAAATTATATCAGATCTGCAAAGCATCAAGGAGAGAGGAGGAACAATGCGGATCATATGCCTATAAGGCCATCAAGCCACTGCTCATCTACATGGAATTGATGAGGACAAAAGTGGAAAACCATGATAATATAACATCCATTAAGAATAAGGAAATTGAAGGCCTTCAAATGAAGATATCCCAATATGAATCAGATTTAATAAAGAATTTGAGAGAGCAGATTATTGCTGGATTGAGGGAACAGATCATCAAAAAGGACAGCGAATTAAAGCAGCTACAGCAAAAGTTGGACCAGAAGAATGAATGTGAAATTCAGGAATTGAGAAATCAGATAGATTCATACAACAAGAACAATGACAATTTGCAATCAATCAGGAATGAATTAAATAAGCTCAATTCACAGAAATGTGAGGAATGCACAAGTGATTTAATCACCAAACAAAAACTTCAAATCGAAAGCGATGCAATCAAATTGCAGGAGTTGCAGAAACAGTTGGAGGAACAAAAGAAAAATATTGCCCAAAAGAACCAGGAAATATCCAAATTCCAAGGTCAAATTAAAAGCGAGGCAGTCAAATCGAAGGAGTTTCAGAAACAGTTGGAGGAACAAAAGAAAAATATTGACCAAAAGAACCAGGAAATATCCAAATTAAAAGATCATATTAATAGCGAGGCAGTCAAATCGAAGGAGTTTCAGAAACAGTTGGAGGAACAAAAGAAAAATATTGACCAAAAGAACCAGGAAATATCCAAATTAAAAGATCATATTAATAGCGAGGCAGTCAAATCGAAGGAGTTTCAGAAACAGTTGGAGGAACAAAAGAAAAATATTGACCAAAAGAACCAGGAAATATCCAAATTAAAAGATCATATTAATAGCGAGGCAGTCAAATCGAAGGAGTTTCAGAAACAGTTGGAGGAACAAAAGAAAAATATTGCCCAAAAGAACCAGGAAATATCCAAATTCCAAGGTCAAATTAAAAGCGAGGCAGTCAAATCGAAGGAGTTTCAGAAACAGTTGGAGGAACAAAAGAAAAATATTGCCCAAATGAACCAAGAAATATTCAAATTAAAAGATCATATTAATAGCGAGGCAGTCAAATCGAAGGAGTTTCAGAAACAGTTGGAGGAACAAAAGAAAAATATTGACCAAAAGAACCAGGAAATATCCAAATTAAAAGATCATATTAATAGCGAGGCAGTCAAATCGAAGGAGTTTCAGAAACAGTTGGAGGAACAAAAGAAAAATATTGCCCAAAAGAACCAGGAAATATCCAAATTAAAAGATCATATTAATAGCGAGGCAGTCAAATCGAAGGAGTTTCAGAAACAGTTGGAGGAACAAAAGAAAAATATTGACCAAAAGAACCAGGAAATATCCAAACTAAAAGAGCATATTAATAGCGAGGCAGTCAAATCGAAGGAGTTTCAGAAACAGTTGGAAATATCCAAACTAAAAGATCATATTAATAGCGAGTCAGTCAAATCGAAGGAGTTTCAGAAACAGTTGGAGGAACAAAAGAAAAATATTGACCAAAAGAACCAGGAAATATCCAAATTAAAAGATCATATTAATAGCGAGGCAGTCAAATCGAAGGAGTTTCAGAAACAGTTGGAGGAACAAAAGAAAAATATTGCCCAAAAGAACCAGGAAATATCCAAATTCCAAGGTCAAATTAAAAGCGAGGCAGTCAAATCGAAGGAGTTTCAGAAACAGTTGGAGGAACAAAAGAAAAATATTGACCAAAAGAACCAGGAAATATCCAAATTCCATCAACAGTTGGAGGAACATAAGAAATCCATTGAGGAAAAGAATCAACAAATATCCAAATTACAAAACGATGTCAACAAAAGCGATGTGAAATTGGAGGACTTAAAGGAGATTAATTGCACATCTTTTGGAGATGATCCGGGTGTTCAAAAAATCAGTTTTTCTCATTACTCCTTTGATGTCTTATGCGACTCGAAGACAGCAGGTCCTGGATGGACAGTATCCTGCAGCGAATCGATGGTAAAGAAGATTTCAACAGGAAATTGGGCAACATACCGCGAAGGCTTCGGTTCATTTGATGGAGACTTCTTCTTGGGCTTGGAAAAGATCCATCGCTTGACGAGCTACAAACCCCATGAACTCTATATATGTATGAAATTCGTGAAGCAAATGACATATGCGAGATATGAACAATTTGAAATTGCTGGCGAAAGCGATGAATACCAACTGAGTTTAAGTGGATTCAGTGGCAATGTCAGAGATATGTTGTCAGCACTTAACAATAATAAGAAATTTTCGACATATGATCGTGATAATGATGGCTGGAATGATGGCAATTGTGCATTAAAATACCATGGTGGATGGTGGTACCCTAAGTTTTGTGGAATAAGGTAAGTAAATGACTCTCTTCTTCATCTCTATTTATATATTTAACTGTTTTCTTCTTTTATTCCACAGTATACTACATTTACTTTACCATGACGCAGAGGACTTGATGGGTTATAGTATAGATTGGAATAGCCACTTCAAAAATGTTAAAATGCTTATACGCCCAGCATAACTTTAAAAATTATAATGATATTTGTATTTTGGAATTGTAAATATAATTACAGGAATTTTCAAATAAATAATTTAGCATTGCATTTATAATAAATTTTCTTATCCGATCTTGATGAAATTTGTGCGGTTCTTCTGCTTTTCGGGGTGCAACAAATCTTGGCTACCATTCAAATGCAAATCAAATCGATGGACGAGCGTGACAATTTTGGCAGCAGGCATCAGAATCAATTGCATGCCACAGCAGAGATGGAGAGTGAGAGAGAGAGAGAGAGAGAGTGAGAGAGAGAGAGAGAGAGAGAGAGAGAGAGAAATGTCATGAACTGATGCAATTCGAAATGAAAGTCTTTTTTTTGCCAAATCGAATTCGAACAACTTGCGTCAAATCGAATAAAACTCGGGCAAAATGTGTGAAAAAAATGGCAACGAACGAATTGAACGCATATGGAAAAGGAAAAAAATAAAATAAAAATAAAAATAACAGAAAATATGGCAAATATAACAGATTTGCTTTTTTCAGTTTCAATTTGAGTGCAACAATATTTCACATCATGTTTTTTCCCCCTTCTCCTTTTTTTTTTGTGGCACATCTCTCAGTTGACAGTTGTGAGTGTGTAACAGCCACAGCCAAAAGATCAAAAGCTATTGCTGCAGTCTGGCGGACGGCCCAAAACACACTGAGCAAAACATTTTTCGCTTTCTTGTTGTATCCCGCCCCGCCTTCACTGCTCATCACACTATCTCTTCTTTCTGCTCTCCACCTCCTTTTACACACACTCACCGTCTTGTTGACGTTTGTTTATAATTTGCGTTTGGTTTTTCTATTCCATCCCTTCTACTTTTTTTCAGCTTCTCTTTAAATAATCATTTTATTTTTGATCGTGCTCGTCTATAAATTGTCCAAGCACACATACGTATGTATGTATGTACATACATTTATGTATGCATGCATCTGCACATGTGTGCGAGTGAAACAACAACAACAGTGAAATGAATCGAAATTCTCACGGACAGATAAGAAATACACGTGCATGTGTGTGTGTGTGTGTAAAGTGCAGCCAAACAAGTGTAGACATGTTTGGATTAAAATGCACGGTTAGAATATTCATATTATTTGAATTGGGCAATAATCTGATAATCTTAAATAGTGTTTTCTTTTTTTACATGAACATAACTGTAAATGTTGTAGTTAACCCAATAAGAACCCATCGCAACCGGAAGTTAATTTGAAAAAAAAACTCGATTCGATTAATATTCATCTTCGGGTGTTTCATTTATTCAGCTGATTACACTTTTTTTTTTAAGTACAATAACAAAATATTTAAAATGATAAATGATTAAAAATTGACTTTAATATAAATAAATATTATTTAATATAATTTCTCTCACTTGAACAATAAATATTAAATTAAGAATAAGCAGAATCATTGTCATCTTTAGTTTGGCAAAGTGGAATTCTATTTGCAACGAATTGTTTAATTTAGCTTGTTAAGAAGTGATTAAATCAAAACTGTAAAACTTTTGTTTGAAATTGAAAGTTTGTTAAATAGAATTTACCTAATTAGCTAAGTATGTAAATGTACACATATTCATATGTATGTATACCTTTCATCTACTCAGATGTAGATACATATGTACATATATATTTATTTTTATATATACACATTAAAGATTTAAATGCTTAACGCTTGCAATTGCAATTAAATTGTTGGCACTTTAATCGCTTTTTGCTCATCTCTATATTTATACCTGCCCCCTCCCCCCTCTCCTATCGCTCTCACTTTCTCTTCCTCTATTTACTTTCCGTTTATTGATCAATTCGAAATTGTGACTTAATTCAGAATAGATTGTTACAATTTCGCTTAAATGTAAATTACACATGAGCTTTTGCCCAATTAATATGTGTGTTTCTCTCTCTCCCTTTCCCTCTGTTTCTCTGTATTCGTATTTCGTGCATGTGTGTACAAAACACGCATATGCAAATTTGCTGTGAGGCAGGTCGCAAATAGCGCAGCGTCTATTTTCCTCACGCAGCTAGAAACGGCTAAATAAGCAGCTAAATACATAGCTATAAGTGTACCTCTATTTAAATATGTATATATGTATGCGTGTGTGTGTGTGTATATACATATATAATCAAGCTATCGGTCGTTGCGCTACACACACACGCACAAAACACACACATATGTGTGTGCGTGTGCTGCAAGCGTTAAACTATAATAAAATCAATGTGTAGATGCAGCTACGACAATGTGCCACATGCTGCCACTATGTACACACATACATACATACATATATGTATATATCAATCCATATGCACTTATGTATTGTTTGTCGTAAACAAATTTTTTTTTATTTTTCGCTCTCTTTGTATATATACATACATACATCACTTACCACTACAACTACCTAAACTCCCCCATCCACAGATTGAGCGCAATGCTCAGCAACGATCGCTGAAGAGAGCGCACTTCTACCTCTCTCTCTCACTCTCTCTCTCCAAATTTGAATACTCTCAAGAGAACGCTCAATTGCTCTTTGAGTCAGAGAGCGGGAACATAATTACTCTTAAGTTTGCTCTGTGCTTATATTCTCGCTCTCTCTCTCTCGCATACACACTGCCTCAGCTGTTTGCTGGAAAAGCAAATAAAAAAAAAAGATCGCTCGACCCAACGAAACGTGAACGTGACTTGGCTCGCCTGCTTTGCCTGCTTCGAAGAAATTTTGTTTTCTTCTCATTTCGTGTGCCATAAATACAACTCTTGTTGTTGTTGCTGTTCTTTTTTCGTTCATTACTTGCCGCTCCTTTGTTCTGCAGATCGCTTCCAGCCTCTGCCTCGCCCTCCCCCTCACCTATCACACACTAGTGCAAACTTTGTATTTTTTTTGCTGTTTTTCTGTGTCTTTGGCTTTGTTTGTGGTTGTTTTTGAGCTATTTTTTTCTGCTCTTTGCATGGGGGCTTCTTGTTATCGCTTTGTTTTTGTAGATGCACAGATACTAATACAATTCATAGGCCTCTCGTTGTGTGTGTGTGTGTTTGCTTGGTTTGGTTTGTTTTCATTTTTTTTTGGTTTTATTTATCGTTGGTTTCCTCATTTTACGCCTATTTGTTTTGAAATTAAATTAAACGACGCATAACAAATCAAGGGGAAAAAACACATTTCCCCTCACTGGAATAGCTTTCCAGTGTGCAGGTTAGCAAAATAAATTGTATTTCTGGAAAGCATCTAACGAATTTCCAGGCAGCAACAACAAGAACAAGAACGAGCCCCCCTTTAAAATGGGTGTAAAAACAAAAACTCTAAAACTGGTTGAGCAATTTGCATTTGCTTGTAAATTTGTTTGCAAATATAGAATATATTTCAATTTGAACTTTTAATCGATATAAATATATATACATAGATCAGATACATCAATTAGCATTTATAAAATTAGTTCCAGTTTTTGGCAAAAAAAAAGCAAAAAAAAAAAAAACAGCAAGAAAATCAACTGGGAGTCAACTGTAAGCCAAATGGCGCTAAACTGAAATTTTTCCCAGAGGAAGAGTAACGGGAATTTGAGGACATTGTGTCGTATGCGTAATAAACGCTTATTGTCCTTGCTAACGACGTAATTTGTTTAGCTTAATTGTCAATAAATAATGGTAAAAAAAAGTGCGCACTAGTAGTAACGGTACACAGACACACATATACACATGTACGTGAATTTGTCGCAAAAGGAAAACTAAAAAAAAAACGGAAAACAACAATAAAACAAAAAACAGAAATCACAAAAATTCGCACATAATTTTTCAAGCTCAACGGCGATAAAAACAGCTGCGAAAATAACGAGCAGGATTTGAAGCGTGATGCAGGCAAACCTTTCAAGTACATATGCACATGTGTCCGTGTGTGTGTGTGTCACCAGTGCTGCCACTTCAGCTTGATTTAGTAGATGTCATTGTATCGCGAAAAATTGAGAAGAACGTTTAGCGGGAAGTTTAGCATTTATTTTGAAATCAATTTAATTTGTTTCATTTATTGTTACACCAAACTAAACATAATATTTCAATATACATCAGCTTCAATTATCGTTGATTACTGTATAATAAAATTTATACAGCAACGAAATAACCAGCTTTAATAATTTACAATTTTTTTTTACTTTGCTCACAACTACCTTTTTTGTTAATTCTCCTCAGTTGAGCTGTCAACACTGACGTGCACGTAATCGACACCGGCAGAGCAGAGACATCATCAGCAGCGACATCCGCAAAACATATGCGGGCACAGACTACCCTTAAAGAGTGAAAAAGAGAGCTAGAGAGTTTATCTTGTCGTTTATCCTTTTCTCCATGGCTGATCAACCGCAAGTTACAAATGTCAAATGTTGTTTTTGTCATAAAGGCTTTTTTCAGTGCGTGTCTTCTTCTTTTTGCACGCAACCCTTACGACTGCCACCCCCCCCCCCCCCCCTCACCAACCCCCTCAGTCCACAAGGTACATACATGCAAAGGTGCCATGACGCAACAAATCTATTATTTAACGCAAAAATATGCATACATACATACATACAAATGTACACACACATACACATGCATACATACAAATACTTTCATACATACAAACATATGTACGTATATCTGTGTGTATCTACGCTTTACGTTTTGAAGCCCTTCTGACAATGACTGACATCGATGGGGATGATGACGCAGGACACACCAAAATAGACAAAAGAAGATGAAGAGGAAGAAGCAGAAGAGCTTTTTGAGTTTAGCATGTGGAAAAGATATCAGCTGCAGCTCTTCATCTTTACACTATATATATAAATATATATGTGTATTTATAACTGTAGACATCAAATTTTAATATAACAATACAAATATTACAATATCGTGATGCATAAGACAAATTTGCTTATACAGTATAATAATCACTGAGAAAACTCCAATCGATATCAAAGCTCAAAAGTTGAAGAAGAAGCAGAGCTTTTGACTCGTATATCAGCTGTTCTTTTTACTTTGTAAATATCTATTAGTCGTTTTATATAATCGTATTTTATTATAATAATAATATTTTATATATTTAAGTCCCCTCGCCCTGCATGCGATAGATTTGCTTGTGCAGCTTTATGCTCGTCAGCTCATTGCGGAAGCTCCAATCGATGTCAAAGTTCAAGTGGCGATTGCCGCGCTTCACGCGAAAATAGCCGGAGAGGAAATCGCCAACGCAGAGCGGCAGATGGGAATCGATGGGGAAGAGCGATTGCTTCCATTGCGTGACCGCCGCACTGGGACTGGTGGTAATCGATTCCCCGCTGGGGAAGTCAAAGTCAAAGTAGAGCAGAAACCAGCTGGCAATCGACTGGCGCAGAGTGCGCAGCTTGAAGGATACCCCAAAGCTGAGATCCTCCCGCTGCAGCGTTTGCATATCGAGGCGGCGCAGCAGTTGACGCTGGGTGAGTACCTGGCTGGCATCCACAGCATCCACCACGGGAATTCGCTGCTTGATGTTCCACGCATGCGTCAAATCCAAACCCGAGTAACGTGCCCAAAATTGCTGCTCCTCCTGCGTCTCTTGCGCGCGCGGCTTATCAGCGGCAGCAATATAAAGATTTGCCACATGCGGAAAAATGTGTCCGCCGGGCTTGAGCCACATATTTCTGGCATAGATCACCGACTCTAAAGCGGAACTGTACATCAAGCAGGCGCTGTCAAATAGCCGACAGTGGTTAATCGATTATCGATTGTAATCAATTTCTGCTCACTTACCCCATCCACTTGGACATAATGATGTCCACCGGTGGCAGCTGCATTTCCTCCACACTGCCCTGCACCACCTCGATGACATGCTCCAAGTGATTCTCCCGCACCAGTCGACGTGCCACCTGCCACACACAGCTCGGCTCCACGGCAATAATCCGAGCAGCGCCCCGTTGAGCTGCCCACAACGAGAGCAGCCCACTCCCGCAGTTCACTTCGAGAACGGTGGCATTGCGGAAGATTTCCGCATTTGCCTCGATGGCAGAGCGGAAGCCGAGCATTGTTGTCTCGTCACGCAGAACGAACTCGTGTTTCTGCAGGAATTCCGCATAGGTCTCGGGTGAAATGAGATCCTCGAGAGACTCTCTCGATTCTTTATTATCAGTTTTTGGCATTTACTTTATTATTTTTGCCAATTGGCGTGGCTTCTTCGGCGCAAGCCAGTGTGTACACACTTGCATTGTTATCGATCAGCTTTCTGTGTGCACACACATAATTAAGAACATTCGCAAAAGTGGTGTAATATCATTTAGTATTAATTAATGTAAATAATGAATTTTAATTATAGTTTATATAACAATTCCACTAACCAGTGTGTACACACTTAGTTTACACAAATTACAAGACCATCACTAATATTTCAGGTTATCGAATTACAGTGCTTCCGTAAATCTCATAAGTGATTTACATACATATGTATGTAAACAAGCCAGGGCTACGCAATTTCTATTGCACCTCGAGGACATTGTTACCTCGTATCACTGACGAACCCGTGCTTCTATGTTTCGGGTGAAATGGCATTCTCTACCAATTGCTTGTCAGCATTTGGCACTTCCTTTTTTCCAATTGGAGTCGCCTCTTCAGCTTCAGCTAGTGTGCAAACACCTGGCTTATCGGAGCCTGAACGTTTATCGACTTGGTTCGATCAGCTGTCAGTGTGCACACACATAAACAAGTGCATTGGCGTTGCAGGCGTACAATTGGAGTAATATTGTTTAATTTTAACTAATATAACTAATTCAATATAAATTAGTTAAAACTAATTTAAAAAGACGGAACTGATATGAATAACAATAATTTGCTAGAGTGTACACACTTCGCTCGCGCAAAGAGTAAGACGCTGCCCAGTGTTTCCATAAATCTCGCAAATTAATTACGTTTGTAAACAAGCAAATTCTATTTTATTTCAATTGCACATTTTAATTTTGATTGAATATGTCTTAGGCTAGGCAGCACCGCTTGCGGCATTCGGTGACGACTCCTTGAGTATGCCCCGCCTACGCAATTCACCGAGCACTTCAAACACCGGCTCAAAATTATTCATCGTATAGAATTGGATCCCATGCATGCCCAGATCTGCGTCCAGCACCCGTTGAATGAGGCTCAGTGCGTGTTGCACGAAGTAGCTTTGAGCTTTGGCATCATCATTTTTATATTTCTCTGCCTCGGCACGCATTTCCTTCGGCATACGGATTTTGGACACTCGCTCCATTTGCAAATAGGACTTGAAGGAATTGGGCACAACCACGCCCACCATTACGGGCGCCTCAATCCCGACGCGGTGCACCTTCCGCAGGAATTCAATAAGTGGCTCCGGCGTATAGCAAATCTGGGTGATTATAAAATCGCTGCCGCAATCTATCTGCAAAGATAAAGAAAGAAAAACATTTTGAGAGCGTTGAAGTCGGACGTAGCCGACTGCGAAATACTCTGATACCAATAGGTAATATCATCTGATAACATGTGCCACAGAAGAACCGATATTTGAAGGAGTTTCCTAGAAATCTATTCCACAAGTTTGGCTTTAAAATTGCGAAAGATATAAGCTATTGAGAATCTTAGGGAACTGGTAACCTGGGGGCGTCGGAGGTGGGCTTGGCGCATGCTGATCTTTAGAAGACATCGCCAACAACCTACCAACCAAATTTGACGACTGTCGCTTTGGATATTTGGAAGTTGTGTGACTTTATCGATTTGCGATAACCGATTTTTATCGATATCTGAATACCTTCGGTATTAGAGTAAAACTTCGCAAAAACTTTAAATCTCTCGTTCACTTGACGCACCTTCTCCTTCAAGTACGTGAGATCCTTGTCAATGTCCTGCGGTCCCAACTCCAAATCGTTAGCATGTCCTTCCGGATGACCCGCGACGGCAATTGTCATTTCCTCTGCTCATGCAAAAAATGTGCTGAAAACGGAATCGGGAATCGATTGTTGCATACAGAAATACTTACTGCCGCGAGCGCGACGAGCGTGTGCCACCATTTGTCGCGTATATTTGTAGGCCTGATCCTCGTGCAACTCATCCCCCCTGACGGCGAGCAGATTATCAAAATTGAGGTCGAAGAAGTCGTCGTAATGCTGCTCGCTGAGGCGATACGTGCTCAAATGCGGCATCGCCGGAATATACGATTCGAGGGCGCGTGTCAGTTGCAGCGTCTGCACTTGACCGATGGGCTCCACTTGCCAGTACGGCGCCAGCCAGGCCAACGAGATGAACGTGGGCAGCACGGGCAGAAATTGATTGAAGTCCACGCAAGTGATTATGCCCCGTGTATTGGATGTTATCTCGATACCGTAGAAGAACTCACCGATTCGCGTCTTATTCGCAACCAGATCACCCAAACGCGGCTGTTTGCCACAGTTCGCCACCTGTCCGGCCGTAAAATGGAAACACGGCTCAATGGGCAGCGACGTTGATGCTGTCACTGATAATGTGCCCTCGATTGCATGCATGATTTGGCTGATGTTCCGCACCTGGTGACTACGCTGCGACAACTGACGCCAATAGCAGCAGCAGCAGCAGCAGTAGCAGCACCGACGCTGAGCAACTGCTGCCACATGCCGGAGCAGCGTGGGACGCGGAGCGGCACTCATTTCAGCACAACAACAAAATAACACACTCGCCTAGCCTATCAGGTTATCTTAATTGAATTTGCCCAGAATTTTGCATTGTGTTACAAACATACAACTAACTACAAAATTCATTTATTATTACTGACACAATCTGGAGAAACTGACTGGGATCCATAAACTACTCAAATCCTAAACTTCAACAAGGGAGTGAGATAGCAGCTATCGGCACCGACTGCGTTGTACTCTAATATCTAAAATCTATATTCTGATAAAATGGAATTATGAATGGAAATCAAATAAATATTTTTGCTAATTTTCTTAAATGTAGATTCTTAATATATTATTGAGTTATCCAGCTATAAACGCTCGTTTGCCTTTTCGATTAGAGTATAAATTATGACTTCGACTATTCAGTGAAATAAATTGAAAAATACTTTGTTTATAATTGTTTTAACTAGCGCTGTAAGTCAAGTTTAGGCATTAAATTTCATACATAATATCAACATATATAATTAAATAATATATCCAAGTTATATGATATGTATACTTTGCTTATATCTGTTTATATACTTTGTTTATCTGCCTGTTTATTCAGTTAAGAATTCTCTAGTCGAGATAGCTCGACTAGCAGATACCTTACAATCATTTGTTAAATATTATTTGCTGAATATTTGTTTGTGCTGTGTTCTTTTTTCGATCTTAATGACATTTTTTGAGTTGCTTGGTTATATATTTTATTAACTGGAAGAATATATCTTAACAATTGTGTATTTTATTGTTATCGGACATCGATTAGTATCGATAAAATTGAATAAACTTGATCTGTAAGTGGATTACAAGAACTTATGTGCCAAATTAAATGGCTTTAGCTCTTGTAGTCTCTGAGTTGGACTTGTTCATACAGATGGACAGACAGATATGGCCAAGTCGACTCGTGTCTTGATGTTGATCACGAATATATATGCCTATGCCTTGCACAATTTTTAAGTCCAAATATAATCGTTGAATACTGATATGTGTAATTAATGTCTTGGTTATTAATTGTTCGCAATTTTAAATGCAGACAAGCTGCCGTTTGAGGAGCTACTTGAATCGCACAATAATCGGAAACTTATTCGATAATCATGGGTCAATAGATTACATCAGTTGTAAACCAAAAATCGAGGGCCCCATCTGAGATCGTAAAAAGAGCACTTCAAAAATGTGTTTCAACTTTCTGCTTTGCTTTCAATTTTTTTCGTTTTTTTTATGCAAGTTTGTGCGAGCATCGCTTACAAATGAGATGTTTCATTAGAAACAATTTTCAAGTAGTCAACAACAACAACAACAACAAAATTTGAAGAAATTATAACAAACGTTGCTATTCATTTTGAATTTTACGATCAATTTTTTGTTTTCCTCGGTTTTTTTTTTGTGGTTTTTTGTTTTTGTTTTTGTTTTTGTTTTTTTATTGTTGAATGGAGCAAATTACTTGATGGCGTTAATTACAAAACTGCAGCCCATTTAGATTAGAGAGGAAAACGCAAAACCAATTGCTCTAACAATTTGGGGCAGGGGCAGAGGCGGGTGGCGCAGCAGATGAAGGAGGCGGGGCTGCAGCAGCAGATTTAATTGCTATTTGTATCGCTTCGCTCGTCCGTCCACTTGAAAACATTTTGGAGCCGCAGCAAAGCAGAGCAGAGCAGAGCAGAGCAGAGCAGAGCAGTTGAAGGCAATCCAATCTCGAATCCCCCATAGCCACTTGGGTTACGCTTCAGAGCCATAATCATAATTTAAATGCCGCTGGCAACACACTCGAAAGTCGTAAAAAAAAAGAAGGAGATCGTCGTCGAATTGAAGTCAGAGGCTGGCAAGCCTGGCCAAAAAAATAAAAACAAAAAAATGGCCAACAACAAATCATGGATACAAAAAAAGGAAGAAAAAAAAAAAAAATGAAATTCAAAATCAATGCATGAGGCAAGACACAAGATGAGCGCAGATACAAGCAGCCATCGGTGGCATCGGGCGTCAAGTGGCAATTAAAGATACATTTTACTGCTCGACTCCTCCTCAAAATTGGGTTTCCAAATGTTTCTGCACTTATGCCTGTATCGCTGCTCCAGAATACAGCCCACAAACTCCAAGCTGCAAAATATACAAAATCCAAAAAAAAAAGCGAAGAAAATGAAATGAAAAATATAAAAAAAAAACAAACGTATCATTAAAACATCAAGTAAAATACTTAAATAACAATTTATTATTGTTATATATAGCATTTGTAAGTCGCTAATATATATTTGAGTTTATTGCAGATTTATGCGATCTCACATATATATTTATTGCGATTATAAATCATTTGAACAACACTAGACTTTCTGTTCAGTGTATTTAAAAGAAATGTTTAAAGGTTTTCTATCTACTTATATATATTTGTTGAATTATTATTAATATTGTCTAAAATAAGAAAATGGAAAATTACTTTACTTTATGCAAAATTATTATTTTATTTAAATCGTTCTTCCTTGGTTGTTGTTTGCTGGCTAATATTATTATTTTTTAATTAAATGAATAATGCCTTAGTTATTATTTAAAATTAAGTTTTTTATTTATATATAAGATTATTATTTTTTAAACAGTTTTTTGTTTGAGTCTTGATTGTTATTGTATCTGAAAACATCAACTATGACAATTTTATAATTACATATTTTTATTCTTAGAATAAATTTGCTTCGAGAAAGAAGTATTATTAAAAGCTGAAGTTTAAGAGAAGTTTATGTAATTTATACTTTGAAACAACTTAATATTTTTAAGGTGAATTTTTCAGACGAATTTATAAACATTCTTTTTAAATATATTTGTGTAAAATGTGCTTTGTTTCAATAAACTTGTTAATAAACTTAAGACTGTTAATTGGCTCGTTAAATAAAGTTTCACACATAGATATACATACATTATAATATATACATACATATACATATCTGTTTCACAGTTTTTACCCCAGTCGCTTTTCGTTTTTATGGGTCCTGCATTAATATAAATATTTTGTTATTTGTGATAATTTTCGGTGATATAAAATTCTTTACGATTATTAGTTTTTGGTTAGGCAACAGGAATGCCGAGGGGAATGGAAATGGTATTGGGAACCTGCTCGCTGCTCTGGCTTCACTATCCCTAAACCAAAAAATATAAAATATAAAAACGCTGGCGACATTGAGAAAGTGGGCACTAAATCAGCAGCGGAGCCGTCGACTTCGCCGCCTAATTACAAATTTGATGCAGCTGCAGGCAGGCAGTTGACGATGCCTTCAACGGACCTTGAAATACATAAATATATATATATATGTATATATATGTAGATATGTGTGTTTTTTTGTGGGCATGTCATTAAAAATTTGTTCGGGTTCGGGCAAAGTGCGGCGCACATGTGGCACAGTTGCCCTCAGGATGTGCATAGGGACTGCCTCTAGATGTGTGTGTGTGTGTGTGTGTATCTGTGTGTGTGTCTGTGTGTGTAGCCATGTGTGTGCTATGCTGGATGATCGGAAATGCGACGCGTGGAACCTGTTCCACAGATTTTGGCTTTGTTGAAAGGCCATTCTATAATTATAGACATCGAATGTGTGTGGTAGAGATCGTGTCATATTGGTCTCTAATGGCACACAAATAAACATCAGGCATATATAAACAGACGCACAACTTATGCATATATATCCACACAGATATATATCTATATGTATATTAGTAATTTTATGTATTTTGGGAGCTGTAAATCGGCTCAGTCCTGTCAAAGATTTTGCGCTTGTTAAGGGTAGTTTTTAAGCAAGAAGTTCGATTAGAATGCATGTTTTTCAAGCCGACAAAACAATGAAAATGAAAAACTCATCGATTCCCAAGAACAACATACAATTATTTGTTGCAGTGTAGATTGCTTGCAAGTTCATTTATCTTAGTGTTTTATGAAAAATTGGCATTTGATGAAGGCTCAATTTTAGAATTTTCAATAGAAGACAAGCAAGAATACTCAAGTCGAGTGTGCTCGACTTGCAGATACTCTGCACACAGTTTTTGTGTGTTATATATTAAATATATATATATTATCATGACAATCGATTTTAATCGATATACGCGCAATTGGCTCAGTTATCGATAAAACACGAAGTGGCTATGGTATATGAGAATTTATATTATATATTTAAAGTGCTTAGCTCGTATAAACCCTGAGATCGGCCAGGACTTACTTCAGCATACCCTGTTTACCCCTTTTTTTTAAGGATGCAGAGTACGAAAAATGTTTCAATTTCTTTGACTACCTGTCGGAAAGGTTTCTATGATTTTCTACGGGATTTAACAGCCTGTTTCTATGATTGAAAATGCGTTGATTGAGTAGCCAAAATGATGGATGAGCCTGGAGCAGATGTCCGTTAACCAATTTTCGGGTGCAGACAGGAATTTGGAATGAAACTGGAGTGGAACTACTTACGACAAGAGGGAGTTAAATAAATTTAAATACAGTTTTGAAAACAGATTTCATATTTTGCGTGTATAAAAATGTCTGAAATGAAAAGCGCTGAGAGATTAAATTACAAGCCAAGACAAGGAGACGCCCCAAAGGAAATGGAAAATCTTTTGATGAAATGCGGCAAGCGCCACGCACAGAGCCTCCAATGGGAAAGGGGCAAGGTAACACATAACAGACAGACAGAGAGACAGAGAGAGAGAGAGAGGGAGAGGGGGGCGGGGCGGTAGGTATATGGAAATGCGGAAATAAAAAACAAACAGTGAGGACGAGGACAGCATGCAGAACGCCAACGCATGAGATACATTTCAGTTGCCATGCCCGTAATGTATGAGATACTTTGGCTCTGTCTAAATTAAAAAATTCCATGGAGAGTAAGAAAATTATAATGCTGCCAGTATGAAGAAAGCAAAAAAAAAAAAGAAAAAAAGAAATGTAATAAAGACATGAGTTGTGAAATTATTAAGATGATTATGAAAAATGAGACAAGACGAGACGAGTCTGTAGCAAGCGAAGTGAGAGGGAGATGGAGATGGAGGTGCCACGAGGAGTCGGTAGTCGGTGGTCGTGAGTCAGGAACCCGG